AAGCAAAATTCATGCAATTTCTCCTTCTCCCACTGGGGACAGGCGGCCAAAAGCTCAGTGCCAGGTATCAACCTCGCAGTCAGACTTATCAGTTAGTGACTGGCATGAAAGGCTTCATTCCTCCCGACACACACCTGGGGGGGGGTGGGGGAGTCAGCAGCAGGACGAATTCCTTCATGCTTTCGAGCTGCGTCCTGTCATGTCTGGGGCCCGGTTACAGCAGATTGATGTCAAGGACTAGTCGACAGCACCAATCCGGTCTGCGCCGAGCAAGTCGGGGCTGGTAAGGAGGCCTGAGCCATCTCCACACAGCCCGAGGGATGCTTGGCCCCTAACAGGCTCCCGACCATCCCCCACGACACTGTCTGCCACTTACAGCTCTTGTCCCAGGGGAGGACAAATTCCTGGAAAGTCACGTTGATAGAGGAGTAGGCACAGCTGTCTTGGCAAATCCGGAGGCACCATTTCCACCTCCACTGCACTCTGTCCCCTGAAATATCCAATGCCAGGTAAAAAGGTCCAAGGTTCTCCGGGAATGCAGAACTGGACACCCCCGAGAGCAAAAGTTCGTAATTCAAAGCCGAAGATTTCTGTATACATAAGAAGGAGCAACTAGTCTTTCAAATACTTCTCTCTCTCCCACATCTCTTTCTCACATTCTTGTTTTGCAACGAAGAGTTGAACATGGGGTGGGGGTAACAGCAGACCCTTTTAGAGCCTTGCTGCAGCAGCCATGCCGGTCCATACCCGTCATCCGAATGCGGAGACATCAACCTGGGGCGCAGAGCGTGAATCTAGGATTTGGGAAAACCCGGATGAAGGCCCCAGCTCTGGAGTTCCTTTAAGTCCTTAGCAAATCACTTCCATCCCCACCCCCATCCCATCCCTGAACCTGGATGTCCTCGGCTGTAAACGGGGTGAGAGGTAGAGACGGAGGCCAACTCCATGACCTTGGGGCCCTCAAAGTCTTTGATCCTTTTCTGCAGGTCCGGCGACCGAGTCAGTACCAGGACGGCCTTGACGGTGGCATTAACCAAAGGCGGTAACCTTGGCAGGACACGTGGACGGCAGCTACTGGCCACTTCCGCTGGTCCCCACGTGACATTTGGCTTGTTTAATAAACTTCGGATTGAGTCTAAGAAAAGGTATTGAAGATGCCTTCTAACTCTCAGAAGCACCCAGGTTTGAAAGGAAGGACACCAGCTTTCTTTGCTGGTCACCTAGGTGCCAAATGGGTGTTTTCATCATTAACCCAAGTGATTACTCGTAACCCTGGCAGTGGGTTGAACTGTGGCCCCCCAAACAAATAAGCCTATATCCTAACCTGAGAAAGTGACTGTAATTAAGTTAAGAACCCCAAGATCTGTTCATTCTAAATTTAGGGGGTACCCCAAATCCAATGACAGGTATCCTTATAAGAGAAAAACGGAGGCGGATTTGAGGCGTACGCAAGGAGGAAGGCCACAGGCAGACAGAAGCAGAGACCAGAGTGATGCGTCTACAAGCCAAGGGCTGAGGACAGCGAGCAGAAGCTGGGAGAGAGGCGTCAAACGGATTCTCCCTCAGTGTCTCCGGCAGGGGCACCTCGACTTCAGACTCCTGGCTTCCAGAACGGAGACAGAAAACATTTCCGTCGTTTGCAGCCATCCGGCTCGTGGTCATTCGTTAAGCAGCCCCAGGCGCCGTGACTCGCTCGTCGTAGGAATGAGTACGTATCACCGTTCCAGTTTTACTGATGAGAAAACGGGCTCAGAGAAGCCAGTAACTGTCCCAGTTCGCTCAGTAACCCGGCGTGTGGGCCGACAAACCTGCCTGCTCTTTCCACGATGCCAGGCGCCCTTTGTCTAGCACAAGGGAGTTTCAACTCCTTCCTTTTCAGAAGTAAAAATCGTGAAGCCACAGTTAATTGACTTATCCTAGGTTGCAGCTGCTCCATCCAGCGCTTCGGCCTCATTCACTGAGGAACTGGGCCCAAAACTTGCCACCTCCCGTGGCCAGCTCTCGGGGACAGGGGGCGGGGGGAGGGGGCGTGTGTTATTACTCCCACAATTACCAAAACGTGGAGCTGCACGCTAATTTCCCCTCGCAAGTGAATGACTGAAAAGCGATGGTGTCGATTTTAATGAGGATCGAGCAAGGCCCCTTTAAGGGCCGCCGTCCACGAAAGCATGTCCCTCGCCCACAACAGTGGCGTTCGATTCCAGAACACAAGAATGTCACTGAAATGACCCAGTGCCGACGTTCTCGTGCTTGCGGGAATGCCTGCCCAGGCAGGGCTTTTTGATGAAAAGCCCTCGCCTATGTGGATGCTTCGTAATATCTGAACCACAGATCTACGTATCGTAGCAACAAAGCTAACACCTGGGAGAAGGTGAACGAGGACAGGGCTTCGCGTTCGCCGGTGCACTCTCTGATGTTCTGTGATGGAGCCGGGAAGCCGGGGTCACGAGGTGACAGATTAAACTTGAACTTGTGGGCCACTAGAAATTCATCGTTCGAGCCTGAATCCCTTTGGTCGCCACTCGCTGAGATGTTCGGAATGATTGTCTGCCAGCCCTGTAAGTCAGTCTACATGGGACTCTTTAGCTGACTCAATTCTTATTTTATTAGTGCTGCTCAAAGCAATTACTAGGGTTTTGAGCAAAGATGAGAGTATTTCACACCTCCATCTTTCCTGAAAATGTCTTATACTCCACTGACTTCTGGCTTCTATTTATAAAGAAGGTCCAAGACTTGGAAAATTATTAGGGCTGAGCTTTAACGGATATTCCCAACCAGTATTGTGTCATTATTGGCCCACGCTTAGCTGGGCGAGCTCCCAAATTTGTGACATAATCAGGCCTTTCTCTGCATTACTCCATACACTCTACGCTCCCTCTACATTACACCAGTGAATCATATGCTCTTTTCAACAAGACCGACTGCCAGGGGGATTAACATTAGACAGCAGAATTCCATTATTCAGCAGCCCAACTCAAACCCGAGCCTAAACTCTAAGGGATTTCAGGGCTTCGCAGAGAGGCGCTGCCAGACAGCTCAAAGGGGAGGTGGGGTGAGGGGCTTTTGAATGTTTTACATAACAACTCAACCTCAAACCTGCCATGAGCAAGAGTCCCTGGCCACAGTGGCCAAGATGTGTCTTCTGACCCCTGGAATCGCCCCAACCAACCTTAATGGACGACTGGTGGACCTATGCAAAGCCATGTTCCCCCCACACTGCTATAAGCCCAGATACTTTATTCCCACAATAAATGACTTATATTCAGAATTAGGTATTTAGAACTTTTGGCCTCCAATTTCTTCTTTCCTTAAATAGAAACGCTTTCATGTCAAATTCGGGATACACGAGGCCCGAAGCGAAGTCCAAGTCGCGTGCGCTTTGATCAATGGATTTATACCACACTGATGCCAAAATAAATGTTAACCATTTTCTTCTCATATTTGAGAGTGACTTTGCTTCGTGTTCGTTTTGTAAAATATCTGTACATAGTAATTCCCACTAAGAAACATTCCATAAAACTCTGTAAGAAAAGAAGACTCTAAAACTCAGTCTTTCATGAACATCCGTAGGACCTACATTATACAAAAACCCATCAAATTTCACCTGAAGACTTCTAAATAACAAAAACATAATGTTACAAATACTTTTTTATTCCACTGAATATGTACACACAAATGGAAATAAAGACTACATCATGCTTTCTCAGGCAGAGTTTCTTATGGATGTAATTTACTTCCACTTGGTAGAAAATCAAAATGGGTTTCTGTTTAATTTTCAGTTAACCTAAAAAACTTCAATTAAACAAATCTATGTAATCTGGTTAATCAAGCTCTTGGAAAGTTTTTTTAATGGTTCTTTGAGCAATTCAAATACCTTGGGATCTCTCTCTTCAAAGGGTTTATATTTTATTGAAGGAGAAGAAATGTCCACATGTGAGCTCATAATACTAGGGACACACGCATCAGAAGTAATGGAGGAAAGCCTTGTTTATAGACACCCAGTGGGTAGGCCAAGTTTGCAGACATACAAAGGGTCACATTAGGGCAAAATGAATCAAGGTGCGCTTTGAGTTGAGACCTTCGGAGGAGTCAGGGAGTCTCAGGTAGAGAAGGGCCAACTGGGTAACCCACAGCAAGGACTCAAAGACAGGTGGCCATATTAAGAGTCCGAATAGATGACAACACAGAGAAAAAACGGCTTCTACAAAAAAAAGGTCTTAGTCCAGCATCCCTGTTACAATGAGACATGTCCTCTGTGGAGTTCCCATATGTTATCAATCCTCCAACAAGATGGAGAAACACTGTTTCTTTATCAGTTACGACGAAACCCATTCATAATAGGCAAGGCAGGAAGAAATGTGTGTTTCTAAGAAAATAAGCTATGCGGTCTTGAGATAATTAAAATAGCATTTTGATTAAAAGGTACTTATAAGACCATATACATGGCTCCCTTTTCAAAGGAATAGCTTCTGGGGACAGACATCGAACTTGCAGTGTCTAGTGACTTTCTTCTGGTGGAAGTGGAGAACCCTTGGCATTGACCTCTCTACTCTAAGGATCGGTCATCATAATATCTTTCCCTTTACGCTTCAGCCAGCATCACACGGTTACTCTTTTTTAGATAATGCTGCCTCTCTTTTAAAAACAAAGTTCTCCTGTAGCATTATCTGTACCCTTGCCCTGTACACACTAACATTTTCTCAGAGTAATCTCAGCTTCCAGAATGTCAGCACATTTCACACCACGTCGATTTTATACAAGACGACACTTAAGCACCAAGAGGATCACGCAGAACACACAAAACCTGGCTTACCAGGAAACAGAACATTGTCGAATGACAGAGGAATCCTTCTCGAATGACAGCCTGTATTTGGAAAGCACGAAAACGAACCAACTCTCCTTAAACCACGGGGAGAAATAAGACTCACTTTCACGACTTCAAATGAGTCCAGCTACAGCAGGCTGATGGACAGCTGCCACTCTGGGAGAAGCAAACTCACCAACGACATCCAGGTGGTATGTGTGATTGATGGAGCCGTATTCGTTCTCTACCACGCAGGTATAATTTCCTTTGTCGGATGGGACCACACTTTCCATAATAAGGCTCCAATGCTGGTTTCGTACCTGAAAAGATGAAAGTGGAGGTGGTTACTTCACAGTCATAGCACAGACTACCAGGTACATTGCTTTCTTGATTTAAAAAGGAGTTGTGTGAGACAAGGTAGGTAGAAAAAAGAAGAATCAGCTGAATTCTAAATTTTCCTCGTAGTAAGTACTCAGAATGATGACAGAAACAACTTGTCATCACGGTGAATGTCTAGCCAATAGATACTGCTATGTTCAGATACCCAAGAGTATGTGGAGTGAGTCTCTTACTGTCATAGGTTTGAGGGTTCATCCAAGAACAGCCAAGTGGCCAAGGAACCTGAACCCTGGCACAGTATCGGTGCTCAGGGAAGGTGAGCCACCAGGCTGCTCATCCAGTGGGAACCCTCGGACCCTCGTCCCCCAAGGAACAATCCAGGGCCAACACTCGTGAGCACTTACTGTATGCCAGGCACTGCTCTGAGCATCCGTTCCTACCTCGGCTAAGCTACTTTTCCCAAGGAGCCCACGAGGCAGGTGCTGATACTGTTGTAGAAGCCTTCAAGTTTAAAAGCCTCTCCTTTCTCTCCCCACGGCCCTCAGAGGCTGGCTGGAAGTCTCGAGAAGTTTCAGCTGGGGACATAGGTACATTCTTCCCACCTCTGGTGGCAGCTGAATAGATGCTGCACGTTTCTGAGAGAGATGCTCAGAACTCCAAATATGGCCTTTGGGTGACCAGCCATGTGCTTACCAACTCCTTGAGACTTTCCAAAGGTAAGCGGCACGTGTAAATATAAGTTATTATGAGTCCCGCCCACATTCTGTCAACATGCAAACAGGCCAGGCTCTAATGTTCCCACCTTGCTTTTAAAATATTTTAATTCTCAAATTGTCAAGCGAGCATGACTTTTCCTTACTAGGACCAAATGCAGATTTCATCTTCTGCATTTGGGGTCAAGGCTTTAATATTGCTCTCTGAATCCAATCATTCTTTAGGGGTATTTTGGACAAGGCACTCTGGGAGAAATGGAAATAAAAAAAACGAAGCCAGGGCCTACTAATTTTAACTATCGTTTCAGGAATTTCAACTGACCTTCTGAATGACCCCCCCCCAAGCACTCCAAGGGTGTTCTGCCTTAATCACGTAAAAACCGATAATACCGGCAGAGCCTTTGCAAGCACACGAGTGAGTCAAGGAACTAAACTAGAGCAGAAAAGAGTCATCTTGTGAGTGCTCCACTATAAACACGGGAGGGCAGAGCAGCTGTCCACTTTGAAAAGCAGTGGCAGCAGAGGTAAGAGATTACAAGGGCACGCCCCAGCACAAAGCTTCATGTCGGGCGCTCAGTTCTTCACGAGCCATTACAGCCAACCAGACTGACTGATGCCAGGTTCAAAAGCAAGATCACTTGCTCATCACTGACAGTCTCATGAAGGATCACAGGGGTGAGAGCTGGACTCTTCTTAACAAGAGGACAAGCAATGAATTAAGACGAGTTCTGGGCAGACGGTCACCGTGCTTCAGCTGCTGCCTGCCACTGACCCCCCTGTATAACCATGGAGGTTGCTTCGGAGTCTCGTGTCATGGAGCTGATGACAGACATTCATTCTGTCACAGGTGAAACGCCCAGAAGTAAAATGAATCTGAAGGCATCAGATCTACAATGGAGAAAGTCTACACTCCACATTGCAGAAGACTCACTCCCTGCCCATGGCAGGGCCACAGACTTGTAGGAGAACCCAAAACAAGAGGTTAGGTCTCCTCTCAGGAGGGAGAAGAAGCGCCTTCTGTGCAGAATGTATAGAAGGAATGTTCTGAAGAAGACAGATGTGGGTGCCAATTTTTCTAGTGCAATTAAAATTCTCTGAATCCTGCGTACTTCCCTGGAGCTGTACGCTCAGAGCACGAAGAGGCAAGTACCAGCTCCCTGATTTAACTCGAGGCAAGTGGGTCCACGATGAGACCCTCCCTACCCCCATGCTCTCGAGGCGGGGGGTGCGAAATGGGACTTTCCTGGCTCCCGAGGAATCAGTCACGTGGAGGGCAACTTAGGGATGAAGCCACGGGTCTCTTAACGTCATCAAGCCCCGTAATCCAGCATTTAGCCCTGCTGTAAATATTCAGTTCTTTGAGCCCCTACTCAGATGTCATGCCCGTAAGCCCTTAATCATGGCTAGTGCCTGTCTCTGGACCCCGTCCAAACTGTCAATGTCTTTCTTGTGCCTGGATCCAGATTGGACACACAGAGTATTCCAAATGGAGCTGAACCTGAAGTGACAGGGAAGGCACCGTCTGCCTGTGCCCACGACACTAACTAAATCTTGGCATATGCAGCTCAGCATACCACTGCCATTTTTAACCCTAGGGCCTATGGTCAGCCAAGTCCCTCGCTGCCACTGTGGCATTCCACGTTAGCTCCCTCTGCAGGGGCACATGCTCCCAAAGAGCCACTTCCTGGAGATGCACTACAAATATCAGTAAGTCAACATTTATAAAATGCTTTCACAAGGAGAAACACATTTACCAAACAAGATGTTTCTGCCCTCCCAGAGACCTTGGGACTCAATCGATACCGCCCCATGCAGCGCTGTTAATATTTATTCTCTCGTATCAGGGCTCCAGCGTTTGATTCCTTGACATATCACCAAATTTTATGAGCTGTGGCATTTTTCAAATGGATGCCCTCAGAAGCCACCAATAGCGGGACGGTATGACACTTTCGTATCCTACCATGAACAGTGGTCGCTCAATGACAAGCTAAGAGACTACAAACAGTAACTCCATAAAGGTAGGGAAGAAAGGCACAAAGATTTGGGTGTTGATTTTTTTAAAAAACATTCTGTTTCCATACCACGATTTAGTGTAAACGAAAAGAAATCACCCTTCCAACAAAAATGCAAGATGTCCTCTTCAACATGTTTTTCTAAATTCCTCACTGTCACAGAAAAAGGGATGTAAAGACCCAATAAACATATGAAAAGACATTTCACCTCATTAACGATCAGGGAAATGCCAATCAAAACAATAATGAGACACTGTTATTCACCAGCTGATTAACAAAAATTAGAAAGATAGATGTCACTGAGTATGTGGTGAGGGTGCTGGGAAAGAGAAACTCAAACAGAGAATGGGAACATAAAATAATTCCATAGTGACTGTTAAAATGAGCAAAACGTATTTTTTTTTTTTGACCCAGTTAATTCCACTTCTAGAAATCAAGCCTACACAGAAAATAGCAGGATGAGTTCAAGGCGAGCGAACAAGACTGTTGCCTCAAGCACTGTTTGTAACAGCAGAAAAACAGCAATCCATTGAGAGAGTCACTGATAATGTATAGTTTATCTTCTATAAACTGATGTATGTAATTCATTCCAACAGAATAGCATACAGTCATTAAAAAGAATGAGGTATTCCTATGTTCAGACCTGGCCAGGTATCATTAATAGTCACTGATAAATGACAAAAAGTAGGCTGAATACCAATATGAATATTCATGATGTCATTTTGTAAAAAAAAAAATACACACACATGTGCAACTCTATAGATGCATACAGGCCTGAATCCATAAGCGTATCTGTATAAACATTGCTAAAATCCGAAAGAAAATGTACTAGATTGTTAGCAATATCTTTCCTATAACGAAGTGGTGGGATTATAAATGTTTACTTTTTCCTCATTTTCACTTTTCAAACTTAAACAGAAATCGCGCGCACACACAACGAAAATGTGAAATAAACCAGCTCCCTGGGCCTCCCTTCGGTGCCAGCTGATCTGCTGCGGAACCACTGCACTTGTCACTGACTGACTGAACACGAGAGCCGGGAGGAGAGAGACCCTGCACCGACGGACACATGCACAATTCTCTCTTTTCATTCCTGCCCATGGCCAAATCTTTGTGGAATTCATCATTATTTTTCATCTGCCAAGAAACAGAATGCGAGCATGAGGCTTCAAAACTATGTTCACTGAAGACTTAAAAATAACATTTCAATACTGAAACAAAACAGAAAGAAGCTAATGGCCTAAATGCTCTTACTTGTAATACAAAAACTGGATTCCACAAACATTCCACACTCTGTCATCACAAAGGCTAAAGGTGGCCCAAACAGGTTTTTGTGGAATTCCTCTGTTACCTAAATCTTCCAAGGTGCACGTTAAACCCCTAGCTACCCTTCAGGTGACAACCGGGCATGAAGATTTCCTTTGTGACACCAAACACCTATGTGAAAGGTGAAAAAGGTCAAAGACCTAGGCTATAACCTGGATGTTTGGTTTCTCCATTGCGAAAAAAAATTCAGACATTTCCAAATACCCAGGTGTTCAATGATCAGTGGAATCAACATGCAGAAGCTGGACGGAAAGTTTTACTCTGTGCCCAGTCGATGAATGCTACGTCCATGTGTGAATAAATACTGCCAAGACTTCCTTCCAACGGCACCACGGCCCAATTTACCCAGAAAGACCGCAATCCCTTTAACCCTGGCCTTCGTCAAGGTGCCGCATGGACTACGATTCAACAGAGACCAGCTGTCATTAGGATGCATAAAACCTTATTATCCCATGCCAGACCCCAACCTTCAGCAGGCTCTTGGCAGACTCCAAGCCATCCCCCTCATGGATGTGTGTGCACGAACTGAACTCACATGTGTCAAGGGCTGGGGCACTTACTGCTGCTCATCACCACGCAGATGCAGAGGCGACACCTGTTTAATGCTTAAATACCACATGGTCTGCTTCTCCGGAGGTGCAGAGCGAACAGGGCTGGGTGAGATTCTCTAGGCAGTGGCAGAAACGCTTCCCTCCACCCAGTTAACAATGGATGGATCTCTCCAGAGGAGGTAGGAAGTGAATTCAAAATGCAAGGCTGTTCTCCTAGATGCCTGTTCCCAGGTGCTCAGAAAAGGCCAGCAGGGCACCCATTGCCTTCTGAATTTAACTCTTCAAAAATCAAGACCTTCCTCAGAAAGCTTGTCACAGAATTACCGTATGACCCAGCAATCCCGCTCCTAGGTACAAATACAAAGGGACTGAAAGCGGG